TTGTATATGGAAGTCCACTATATTATTACTCCTGGCATCTAAATAGAGATTTAACAACATTTCAGGAACAGTGGCTGAGAAAACTAGCTAGCTGGAAGCTGCATCATCATTTGTCCCCAGGACCGATGTGCAACCCACATGGGACTTCATAGAGAACGTGATTACTAGACTACACCTTACACTGCTTAAAAAGACACTTTGCTGCTTAAACATCACCTTCAGGCATGGCTTACCAAAAGGACTTCAACAGCCTGAGAGTGTTTCTCCAGCCAAGGAGCTGAAGATACTGTAGCCACCTTTTAAATGCCTCTAGGACTGGAATAGCTTATAACAATGTGACAAATGACAGGAATACTGGGTGAGTTTTTCCCTTCTTTCCCTTTAAGGGCAAAATATTCTAAAACCTGGCAATTCTAAGAATTAGGTCACAAACAAAAAACGTACTGTCAAAGGTGAAAGCCAACATCACCAATGGAGTGCACTTACGAGCCTCCAGCTGCCCAACTGGGCAGTTAAATGCAGATATAAATATGCAATTTTAACTTACATTTTCAAAATCACAGACTGGTTTGGCTTGAAAAGGACCTTAAGCTCATCCAGTTCCAACCCCCTGCCACAGGCAGGGACACCTCATACCAGACCATGTCACCCAAGGCTCTGTCCAACCTGACCTTGAACACTGCCAGGGATGGAGCATTTACCACTCATCTGGGCATCCTGTGCCAGTGCCTCAGTACCCTCTGCCTTATACCTAACCTGAACTTCCCCTGTTTCAGTTTGAACCCATCACTCCTTGTTCTATCACTACAATGCAAGTTTGCACAAAATATGTCTCTGAATCACTTCAGTTTGGATTATGGAACAAACATGCTTTAGACCACCTTATGTCAACTAAAAGCAGGAAAAGTTAAGTGCCAAAGCTGGTCATAGAATCACAGATTGATTTGGGTTGGAAGGGACCTTAAAGCTCATCCAATTCCAACCTCCCTGGTCCAAGACCTTAAATTAGGTTGCTTGCTCCTACTCTCCAATGACAGCGTGGGTCTTTCTGCTGTTTGACGGTGGTTTGACTTTACACGCATAGGAGGAAAAAAAGAACAAAAATGAAATCTTTGTTACATGTCTCTGCACACAAAGGCTTTGAAGCTGAACTCCCACATGGTATCAGCACAATAAGCAGCATTTCATTACTAGGGATTCTAAAGCGTAGCAGCTTTTCAGGACTGGCATAAAAAGAATACAAGTTGTGGTGCTTTCAGTCTGCCAGGGGACTGAAGGGGAACAGGACTTACTACAACATTATTAGATGCTGCCACTCACAGCTTGCTACAAGAGACAGCTGTAGTAACACCTCTTCCATGAATGTCACCTGCAAAAACAGCTCTGTAGAGCATTCCACCCAAACCAACGTACCAGCAAATCCATTATCACTGTGCAGCCGTGATTCTGAACACAGACTGATCTGTTTGTCTCATCTAAGTACCTACACACCCTGGAGCTACCTGGGGACTTTACTGTAACTAGAGCTCTTAAGCTTCCTCTCCGCTGCAGGGCTTACTTGTAAGAGCAGGCTACACATCTCCCTCATGGCTTTCCTGATTGGACAGATCAACTGCAGATAACTCAGCATACACTCGTGCTCTCAACTGCTCTGCTGTGCTTCTCCAGCACCCCAGAATGAGCTGTACCATCACTTGCTTTCACACAGCTTGTACCCTAATCCTTTCAGCATACTGATTAACTGACTTGTAATTCTGGGAGCTTTCCGAGTTCCTGTGAACAAGAGCTTTCTGCTTTCCAGAAACAGACAGCAATTACCTACTCATCTGGGGCTCTAGATAGTTCCTTAGTTTAAAAATCCACCTCTGGCTGTATCCAGCTGAACGCACAGGGGGTTAAAGCAGTTTTAAGTGCAAGGCTATTGCCACCTTTATTTTTACAGTATCATTGTGAAGGATAGAAGAGATTTATGTAAGTCCAAAAGGTTTGTTAAGTTCCTTCCATTTTGCTTAGGCTCTTCAGAAGTACTCAGTCATTACTGTCCCTGCCCAGGGCAGGGGAATTGGAACTAGATAATCTTAAGGTCCTTTCCAACCCTAAACATCCTATGATTCTATGACACTAGTACTTTTCGCTGGATAAAAACCTGGCTCTGTAGGCAGGCCCAAAGAGATGCTGAAAGGAGCTGATTCCAGTTGGTGGCTGGTCACTAGTGGTGTTCCCCAGGACTCAATACTGGGGCTGGTTCTGTTTAATATCTTCATTGATGATCTGGATGAGGGGATCAAGGGCACTCTCAGCACATTTGTGGATGACACCAAGTTGGGTGGGAGTGCTGATCTGCTGGGGGGTAGGAAGCTCTGCAGAGCGATCTGGGCAGGCTGGATCAATGGGGTGAGGTTACCTGCATGAGGTTCCACAAGGCTCTTGGAGGTCATTACTGCTGAGGAATTACTTTGGTCCTAGACACACAGCACGAAATCTTTAAAAAACCCCAGCAGAGACAAAGGTGCTGGTCTAAGTAGCTGTGATAGGCTGGGGATTAAGCAAGAGACACAGAAGATGCAGCTACCTGGACAACAGTGGAAATATCTCAGTATTTTTAGGAAGATTGAACTTCAACTGCAGGATGAGATGTTTCTGTGCAAAGACCTGAACTTTACTGAGCAATTTCAAAACCAGGATCTTCCATTACTTGGAACAGATTTGCTTGTGATACAGACCTAGAGCCTGACAACTGCACTGAGAATAAACAAGCGACGCACAACACAACTGCTCACCACGCACTGACTGATACCCAGCCTGACCCAAGCAGTGATCCACCCCTTCCATGCAACTCCCCCCAGTTTCTATACTGGGCATGATGTGCTATGCTATGGAATATGCCTTTGGCAAGTGTGGGTCATGTGTCCTGCCTCTGCTCCTTCCTGGTTTCTGGTGCCCCCCCTCACTGGCAGAACATGAGTCCTTGATTCAGGATCTCACTCTTTCAGGGAATGTTCTGTATGTATTTTCACATGTAAGAAGGGACAGGAAAGGCAAACATTTCATTCCTGACAACCTTCAGGCACTCTGGTTCTGCTGGTGTTTTTAACACTTGGATTTTCATCCCTTTGGAGCAGAGGGAGAGAAGGAAAAGGAGGAAGAGTTCTAATTCACCTTGACTTCTCTTTGGCTTCAGCTGCTGAATATGCACAGAATCATTATCAGGAAAGAAAAATCTCTTTGTCTCCACTGAGACTTGAGCAGTTATATGGCTGGAGGGGCAAAGGCACTGTCATGAGGCATCACTACCCAGGAGGTACTGAAGTATCTCTATGTAGTTGCTCACCCAGAAAAGCTACTCAGATTGCTGAAGTCCTTTCAATGAGCTGCGCCCAAGGCAATATTTTAGTAGGAAACTGCCTCTTTAAAAATTAAAAGGAGTTATTTTTGCATCATTTGACTTGGATTATTTTAAACGTGTTTCATTATAGGTCACCTGCGTTGCCAGAAACATAATGAATTTGCAACTGATTCTCTTCAGCTTAATTCCTTAAAAATACAGACAGCTTTAGTACATAATTCCTTACACAGACACGGGACAGGCTGCAGTACATGTTCAAAATATTGCAAGGGTTAGTTCTGTTCTAGTACAGACAGGTAGTATGTAACCTGCACAGACTGCCAAAAGTGTATCAACAAAAAATGACTCCTTATGTAGTCATGGGTTATCGCCTGGCTGAAATTACTGAGAGAAACTTATTTATGAAGTCTTGCCATATCAAATCCCATCTACCCTTTGTGAGCCAGCTGGAGTGATGACCTAAGAGTCAAGTAACATTTATGCCCAAGAGAAAGTCGGTATCTCTTGCTCACGCTGTAGTGTAAGAGCTCACTGGTGTGAAACCTGCTTCATTTTTCCCATTCGACCATCAATGTGACAGAAAAAGGCAGTGTCAGCGAGGAGATCTAGCAGTGACATGTTACACGACATGTTGGCCAAAGTGAGAAGCTGGAGGGAAGAGGAAAGGAGCAGAACTCACTGGTGATGGCAGAGTGGTTTCTTGCACCCACGCCTTTTCCAAAGCAAGTCTTTACATTCAGTCATCATAAAAAAGAAATCAAAAAAGCATTTCTTCCCCTCTGTACCAGAAAACGCTGCACAAACCCACACTGAGGATTCCTACATGACCATAAAAGCATCTTTTTCTAATCTTAGTGATAGATGCTGAACCTATAAACTGAAACACACTCAGCCAGCACTGGTGCTCCACTTTCTGCTATTTAATAAAAGTGCCCGTACCTTCTCTTCTAGGACTATCTCCCATTTCACATGATCCTCTAAAGCAGCCTTTTATATTCCTTCTCCACACATTTGGTGTGCCCAACATTACCATGGTCTCACCAGCAGCAGACGACAACAGTAACACCTCCTTACCTTAACAAGAAGCACCTCCTTTGATATACTCTAATCACATTCATTAGTTTTCCCATTCAGCACAGGATGGCCAGTGATCATCCTGTAGTCTGCTGTGTGTTTTGTCTGGAGGCAGGGAGAGTAGTTGGGCCAGACAGATTATCATTGAGAGATCCAGGGAGAACACTGCAAGATAAGACTTAATGGCTACATTCCGCTGAGCTCGCCAGGAAGTAGTGTGACTTTTGGAAAGGCAGAGAGGAATTAACTGCAGTATTTAGGTATAAAACCTAACTGACGTTTACCTCAAGAGAAAAGGAGAAGGAAAGAAAACTGACCATGGAGATACTGCAGATGAAATTAGGGCAGGAACTGAACACCCGAGACAGGGGGAATGTTTGGCTCTCATTTTGCAACAGATCTTCTCTCTTTTGAACTGGAAAACTTTCAGTGATAGCAGCACACTATCTTGAAGAAGCTTCTCTATTTTAATCAGGCTTCTTTTAGCACCTGCTGAAATCTCAGAGCTCAGGATTGGCTTAAACACAAATGAAAAGGGCCCTGTGGCATGTATTCCTTGACAACAATCTGTTCTCCTCACCTCATAGAGTGTAATGATGCCATTTGTCTCATTTGGAGGCTTCCACTGAACATAGATCTTCTCTTCAAAAGGTCCTCCCTGGATGGATTCCAAGGGAACAGGTCCAGGAACTACAGGGGGAAAAAAAAAACCCACCAAAAATCTGTGTGAGAAGCTCCCACAGCTCCAGCTGCACACGCATCAGAGGACACCAAAAAGCCACCAGACCCGAACTCAGAGCTCAAAATAGCTAAATAGATATAATAAAAACCCCACAAAGCTCAAGGCACCATTATTGCCAAGGTTTGAATCATATGAAAGGCCTATTCTTAACCGCTGGGTCAAATAGGAACACCCTCATCTAACCACTAAGTGATAAATAAAATCATAATCCATGAAAATATGAAGCTAATTTCAGCTTGTCCTTATTGAAGTGCAGCACAACAGCAGCAGGGAATTAATGTGTCCTTCTCCTCCCACACAATAAAGTTCTATCCCCCTAAACAGCCAGATTGCACCTTGGCATAAAGATGCTACTGGGCTGCACACCTTTATCAATATGAAAGATTGATTTCCTCAGCAAAGTAACAATGCAAAATTTATATTCCATTCTGGCTACAAGGCCAGCTAAAAAATCCACCTACTCAAGCAAAACTTGAATGCTGTGGAAGGTAACTAATAAATGCACTCCCAAACCTGGCTGATGAAAACCCTGTTCATTTTTCTGAAGGATCTGCCATCCTCTTATGTCCCCCTGGATGATATAATGGGCTGCAAGAGCCACTTTCAACAGGAGAAACTTAGGACAGCAATTCCTTCCAGCTCTGGCACAGGAAGAACTTCTTCTTTAACACATTAGACAGAATGGAGGCTTGTCATCTGTGAGAGTCCTCGAAATAGCTCAGATGGGATAATAACACTTTAAAGCTTTCCATCAGTACTTCCGGAAAACAGTTCTTTTCTATCCAGAATGGAAGAGTTAGCACTGGATGAATTTAGCTTCTGAGACATACATAAAATACTACATCCAGATCAGTATTAAGAAAAGCTACAGTGTGGAAAAGAAGATGCTATACTTCTTTTTATGGGACAGTGATGTGCATGCACAAGAAAAATCAACAAACACCAGAATTACATTTGCCCATATCATAGAATCACAGAATGGTTCGGGTTGGAAAGGACCTTAAGATCATCTGGTTCCAACCCCACTGCCGTGGAAAGGATGATGCTCTGTGAGTAGTTCAAAACACAACCTCAAGGCCAGGCTGAATGTGGTTCTGGGCAACCTGAAGATGCCCCTGTTCATTGCAGGGGGTTGGACTAGATGAACTCTGAAGGTCCCTTCCAACCCAAACTATTCTATGATTCTATAGAATTAAAGCTACTGCTGTTTCGTGACTGCTCAAACTGGCATTTGTCATTCCCAAGCACCCTGGGGATCCTCGCTGTTTCATTCCACAGCTGTGGAATGGGATTTACACTTACAAATACTGTGTAACACACACTATCCAGAGAATCCATTTGTAAGCTTCATGGGGCAAAGAGTTATGTTGTTATTTACAGCTTGGAAATATTAAGTCTTCCTCCCAGAACAAGCAAACCCAACACAACTCACCATCCTCCTCCGTCTGCACAACCAGCTCCTCACTCTCCATTTTACCCTCAGGGTTTGAGAGGGCCAACCGCAGCCTGATGGTCATGAAGGGCCGGAGACCTCGCAAGGTGTAGTGGGACGAGGTTTGGATGAGTTCCTCTGCCTCGAACTTTTGCTGGTTAAACACATACTGGTACTGGACGGTGAGATTGTAGCTGTGGCAGCGGGTCACCGCATAGCCAAAGGGTTCCCACTGCAACGTCAGCTGCCGGGAGCGGATATCAACCACCTCCACGTTCTGTGGTCCATGAACAGGATCTGTGGAGCAAGCAAAGAGGAAAAAAAACTCATTAATTTGACATTAAAAGAAGTCAGCTATCCAATAATATGCTTCCTGTCAGAGCATTCGAGTATTTCACAGCTCTGAATGTTCCTGTCTTTACAACGTGTAAGTGACAGGGAAATGAACGTCAGAGCCGCAAATACATACTGGCTCCTGAGTTTTCCCTGAAAACTCCCCTGTCACAGGGCCTTGAATCAGTGGTCATGCTCCTGATTCCTGTGAAACTGCACTGATTCCAACAGTGGCAGCATGAGTCCATCAGGTAAGTGGTGTGAAAGTCACACTTGCTTCATTCTTAACTAAAACAATGGGGAGCAGAAAACAACCAAAAAAGCCCCCAAACCAAACAAAAAACCCCTAAGCCCCAGAAAGGTAGGTGATCCACTTGGAAGTGCCCAACTACCTCGGTGAGTCCAGCCCTAGTGATACAGACACATGGAAATGGCTGCCAGAGAAGGGATGAACTCGAGACTCAGCTTTCAATTTAGCTATGTAGCTCCTACATTCTCCTGCCTACCCTAAACCCATTCTGCTCAGAGACAAAAGCACGGGAGTGTAAGAATCAGGATTAGGAGTCTGACTGTCAGACTTCCAACATCCCAGTGTACTGCCACCTCCATTTGCCAAACCCTTGGATGCTCTGGCGATGGCACATCCGAGTAGATCACGCTGCTCCTTGGGTATGTTCTGAGTCATCTCCACCTTCTGCCAATAAAACTTTCCTTTCAGATCCTATCAACGCCTTGGCCCCACCAGCTCTTTATCATCCCTTCCACAGTATTTGACTGAGGTACAGCTGAATATTCATGTGGAGGAATCATTTTCACCTGCTGTTCCTTAACTTATTTTTAACAGCATAACTCAAATGTCCTTTATATAAAGCATAAATGCATGCGCTGCTAGACAGGAGGATATAGAGAATGAAGGATGAGTAAAACCAGTGTCTGAAATCCGTCAGATGGTAGCAATATTACCCATGTCATCGTTTGCTTATCTGACATTTCCTCAACTTGCACGGCTCATTTGTTTTTTTGGCTCAGTATAGATCTAAGCAAGGGAATCAGAAAATACATCATTTGATGGAAATTTTCCTGATTTCCAGCACAATTCAGTGTTTCGCCTATTTCTAATATTCTCTCATAATTTCGACCTATGAAAGGAACAGAATGTTTCATGGGAACAAAAAAAGTCATAAGGCCTCCAGAATGCTACTTATGCTTCTTGGAAAGATAACTGAAGTGAAAAAAAGCCTTCCAGTAATTCTTGAAACTAAAGCACCCACAGCACTGACTTCAATCTACTAATGCATAAGCAGAAAATACACTATAATAACCAGCATATTCTGTATTACTTCCAAGAAAACCCTAGTGAGTGGCACTGGAAAAATAGCTACCTTGAAAATGAACAGAATTCAGAATCTTTATATAGATGCAGCCACTTTTGAAACAGGATGGATATGAAAGGACCAGTGGGCTGAAGCGAGCAACTGGCTTAGGATTCCATATCAGTCATGTCAATTCCTTGACATAGAAAACACACCTTAAATGAGATTCTTTAGTAGTCTGTCAAAATAATCATAATTTAGAAATTAGAAAGTTTGGATGCATCAGTATACACACATATACTTAGCATTAGGTGATAATTATTCTTTGTATTATAAACTCAATGAAAGAACCTTTCTATAGATGACTTGGATAGATAAATAAGGCGAACAGAAGAATGACTGTGTGAAGTCTCAGCCTCTGAACCTATACAGGTAAGCACAAACCTCCTTCCAAGCTATATCGAAAGGCAAGAAAACCAAGAGCAGATGCAGATGCTCATCCTTCCAAACTCTACACAAAGTAATCCACTCAAGACCCCAACACAGAATGTGGTTGCGACAGGAAAAACATTTCATGCCAAGACAAGGATGTAGCTGAAGATGGCAATTAACCTCCAGGTTAATGCTACACTGTTCTTTAAATTACAGTTATTTTCTTTAAGTCAGTCATGTTACGAAATGAAAGGGTAATTTGAGGGTGTTTGGTTTATTGATGTCAGATGCGCTGACTTTACTAGTGGGTAAGGAACAACTCTGATTCGGCATCATCTCACCAAGTCAGATGTCCAAAACCTGGACTATGGAAGAATACCTGCAGTTTTTAGCTTGCTCATCTCACATTTGCCCTTTCCTTTCACACCCAAAACTGTAAGTCTTGGAGGCTGTCTTGTATCAACCAGTTTCTAATTCTACTCAAAATTTATTGTAAAAGACGCATCCTGAGGCCTTTCTGGGGTTTTGCAACACAACCTTTCAATAGAGTACCCAGACTGCAGATGAATTTAGTTCCAAAGCAAGAAGCTAAAATACAGATCACAAACATAGTCCAGACCCCACTACACAATCACAGAACATGTCGCATTCTCCCAAGTACTCTGTTCAATAGCACTAAACTGTGAGATTTTTCAGTCCAGTCAAAAAAATGAGACCATGATGCTGTACAGATCATAGTGACAGCAGGATGACAGAGGGGAGACCAAGATGAGCTCTTAGGCAGAAGCTCTTCCCTGTGAGGATGCGGAGGCGCTGGCACAGGGTGCCCAGAGAAGCTGTGGCTGCCCCATCCCTGGCAGTGTTCAAGGGCAGGTTGGACCCAGGGGCTTGGAGCAAGCTGCTCTAGTGGAAGGTGTCCCTGCCTGTGGCAGGGGTTGGAGCTGGATGAGCTTTGAGGTCCCTTCCAATCCAAACCAGGCTGGGATTCCATGAAGCTCTCCCAGGGATCTCCCAGCTGCACTCTCTGTTCTTAGCCCAGGGAAGCAGATTTCTGACCCAACAGTGATGTGCAGTTTTCAGAGACTGCATTTTCTGCCATCACAATTTTAGAGAGAAGTTGACTTTTATGGCCGGTTTTCCTTTTTTCCTTATTGTAACAGATCTCCTTTTGTTCACTGCAGCCTTCTTGCTCATTGTGCAGTCAGAAAACCAAAGGGGGATTCAGATAGATAGTAACAATTGTGTTTGCTTTATAGCCCTCCATCAAGAGAAGAACAGAGAAGAAAGGCAGCAATGGAGAAACCCTGGGGTTTGAACATGAAGCTCAAGTTGAGCAGTGAAGTTAAACAGAGACAATTGTTGCCCCCGGGTTAACTATCTGATGCAGGAGCGTAATTGGGAAAAGTCATTGCTGTCACTAAAGACAGCACAGAAGGTGTCCTTACTAGTCTGAGTCCTCATGTCCGTGTCTCCTGACCTATGGAGAGCAGGAGGCACTTTATTAGCTGTGCAGTTGTCCACTGATTGACCTGGTTTTCCCAGCAGGTTACAAAGACTGCAAATGCACAAACAGAAGAAAAATGAGTGTGGCAAGAGCTTTGTGTGAGCCCTCAACTGATGCCTTCTGATGGAGAAAGAGTAGGAAAACAGGTGTGATTCCTGCCTTCTCCTCAACACACCCTTACATAAGCTCATCAGCCAGTCACTCTCACCAGAACAGGCCAACACCCAGGTAAGGTCCCCATCCCTTTCTGCTAGGCAGACTGGGAGAAGACAAGGACAAGACTAGGTGTGTTGGTAGCTGATAATGAGACCAAAACTTGTGTTCTTCCAACTACCAGCATGGTAAGTCCTCTCTCTGTACCCCAGAAAATACTGAAATCCATTTTAATTTACAAAATATAAAATTGGTATCAGAGTAGGTTGAGAACTTCACAGAATATTTCATTCTCGTGACAAATCAAGACAATGGCCACTTGTCAAACAACAGCAGCTAAACTCCTTATGATGGTGATTAGGATAAACCTTGTGTTTTCCAAATACATTGCTCTTGTTCTACAGCTGGAAAACCAAGCAGTCGTTTCACAGAATCCCAGCCTGGTTTGGGTTGGAAGGGACCTTAAAGCTCCTCCAGCTCCAACCCCTGCCACGGGCAGGGACACCTTCCACTAGAGCAGCTTGCTCCAAGCTCCTGTGTCCAACCTGCCCTTGAACACTGCCAGGGATGGGGCAGCCACAGCTTCTCTGGGCACCCTGTGCCAGCGCCTCAGCACCCTCACAGGGAAGAGCTTCTGCCTAAGAGCTCATCTCAGTCTCCCCTCTGGCAGGTTCAAGCCATTCCCCTTGGCCTGTCCCTACAGGCCCTTGTATCAATTATTTTTACAATTCATTGTACTTTTTAAACAATCTGTCTGACAATGCCTCTCCTCCATGCTTTAGATTAGAGCTGAAGCCTTCCCCATCCTCCTTTTATTCTCTATTCCTCCTCTTCCTCCTCAAATTTCCACAGATGAAACAAGCCTAGGGAAACACCTACTCCAAACCCACAGCAAAATAAGCAAAGCAAAAGCGTTCAAGGAGTTTGCATTAAATCCACAATTCTTGCGTGCCATAAAACCACCCCTCTAGAGTGTGTGCTGTTCACTGTCGGGGATCCTGACAGAGAAATTGTTCCATAAACGTCCCACATCCTATGTCCTATACATGGACATTTCGGGATGACAGACAACCCTGTCCATCCCTGCAGTGCTGCGTGGCTGTCTGTCACAGAGCTCCTTTGCTGAGCAGCATAATGCACACACCGCTGCCCATCACATTTCAGTGCTCTTGAACGTACTAGAAATGCCTTTTCAGACATGACAGATAAAACCACTGATTAAACAGAATTCACTGGTCTTTCAGTGCTGTAGAAGTGTTTTGGCTTTATCCTTTTATGCACAAAGAACATCACCCTAATATTTGGATCTCATTTTTAGTTTTTTTTTTTAATGAGTTCAGTTCTCATCACTTCTCCAAAGTCAGTGCAGACAAGGCTGAAAGCAGGCAATTAGATGGAAAGGCATGTTCTGAGAGACACTGCAACACAGAGAAGGGAAAAAGGAAACTGACAATAAAATCACTGCAGAACAAACAGCCTGTTTGTTGAGATACCTGTAATCAACTAAATCCCAAGTTATACCCAAAGAAACAGGTGTCATTGAAGCTGATGAACTCAAATCA